TACGATGGATTTTCTACTAGAAAGAAAGAATGATCAAGAGAGAAAGAGATAGATAGACAGATAGAAAGTGTGATATTACGCAAAAAGAAAAGTGTAAGAAAGAAGAGAAAAAGAAAAAAACAAAAAAACAAAAAAACAAAACAAAACAATAAAAAAAAGAAAAGGAACCGTTTAAATGATGAAATTCCTCAGAAGCATTAAAATAAAAAAAATATATATATACGTGTATTTATATAAATAAATAAAAAAAAAGAAAATGAATAAAAAAAGTAAGAAAATGCGAATGGAAATGAAAATGGAAATGGAGGATGCACAATTGAAGGATCGATTAAGGTAAGGTATTTTGATTATGTTTTTAATGAAGTATCCAGGAGAAAATAAATGGAAAATAAAGAAAGAAAGAAAGAAGAGAAAACAGAGAGAAAGAGAGACAGAGAGAGAGAGAGAGAGAGACAGAGAGAGAAAGACAGAGAGAGAGAGAGAGAGAGACAGAGTGCTGAGTTGGGGGGATGACACCTACCAAACGACGGCTCGATTTCTCCTCGAAGGCGCGAGGGGCGCCACTATACCCACAGAAGCCTTTGTAGAAATCGCCCTGATCCGCCACTGAAACAGACAGGAGGCCAAACGTTAGAGGTTGTGTTTCCTTCTTTCTTTTCCCGGACGTACGTATTCAAAAGCGTACTTTCTTCTTTCTTTCTTTCTTTTCTTCTCTTTTATTATTATTATTTTTTTTTTATTTTTTTTTTTATTTTTTTTTATTTTTTATTTTTTTTTTTGTATGTGTTTTGGTTTTTTTTATTATTTCTCTTTTTTTTATGACTTTTTTTTTTTTTGTCTGCTTTCATCCCATCGTCAGGAGAAGCGAAATATGTAAAAAGGAAAGGACAGAAGGATAAAACGAGATTCGCGAAAAAATTCACGTCGAGATTTTTCTACCTATTTCTTTTGGCTATTTCTTTTTCTTTCTTTCTTTCTTTCTTTCTTTTTTTTCTTTTTTTTTTCTTTTTTTTTTTTCATTGTTTATGGGCCAGGGTAAAAAGGTAGGAGGGGAAGAAACAATCAACGAAAATGTAATATCGTTGAGCAATGGTTAATCTTTCTTTCTTTCTTTCTTTCTTTCTTAATTCTTTTTTTTTTTTTTGGTTGCTTCTTTCTCTTTCTTTTTTTGTTTATGTTTACGTCTTTTACAACATGGGCGAATTTCCACATAGGCTCCTGGACACCACGAGGAGAAGAAAGAACGTCCCCTTTTCTTCTCGCTCTTTGCACCCCCTCATTCTCATATTCTCATGCACTCTTTCCCTCTTTTTTTTTGATATTAGCTTTCTCTTTTCTCGAGCTTCTATGCTAATCGCAATATTTTGCAGCGAACGGTTCGGAGGACACGAGAAAACAAAAAAAGAACACTTAATTATTCCTATCATTAAATTTTCTTTTATCGAATAATAAATACTAATGTATTTATGATGAAAGAAAAAAAAAAACAAACGAAAAAAGATACAAGAAGAAAAATATCCTCACTTTGAAGCTAATAATGAGAGATTCGAAATAATGGAAAGAATGTATTCAAAAAGAAAAAAAGAAATATGGGACGAAAGATACGAAAAATATAAGAAAGAAAAAAAATATATATATTATAAAAGAAAAAAAAAGAAAAAAAACAAAAAAAAGAAAAGAACGAAGAGAACACCGAGGTATTATCCAAACCGTCAACGCGCAAAAATCATCACTCTGAGCATCGAGATGGATCAATGAAATGTACCATCTCGGCGTCCGCATTCTTACCAGACGACGTGGTTGTTTGACTAGGGGTCGATTCATTCCGTTCATCTTGTGGTAGAGACCGCATGCGTTGCAGAGGTAGTGCCCGGTACCGTCCCTTCGCCATAAGGGTGTGGAAATTGCCCCACAGTTCACGCACTCGCGACCCTCCGTAAAGTACTCCGCCTCGATGTTGTGCACTGTGTTGGCATTGTTGTTTTTGTTTTGGTTTGTATTTTTTTTTTTTTTTTTTTTTTATTATTATTATTTTTTTTTCATCGTTTCGCAATCTTTCGGTATTTTATTTATTTTTTTTTTTTTTAATTTTAATCTTAATGTCTATTTTTTAATTTTTTATTATTTTTTTTTATTTTTTCGTAGCATTCGTTTCCGACGTCCATATGTAGGAAGAGCACGTATTGACAAAAAGGGAGATAAGGATTTGAAGGAAGTAAGGGAGGAAAGTAATATGTAAAATTGTGGAGGAAAGGCTCGTGTACCCGACTAAATATTTTTTCTTTCTTTCTTTCTTTCTTTCTTTTTTCCTTGTACTGACGAACCACCTTTCGAAAAACAAGCGAATCGATAAACATATATATATATATATATATATATATATATATATATATATATATATATATATATAATATAAATATATATGTATATATTGCACGGACTTCCGAATTATGAGTTCTACCTGATTTCGTCTTGACGTTGTATCGTAATTTCGCAAGAG